CAAGGGCAGATAATTTTGATAAATATTTCAAGGGCAACTTGAGAGAATGGTACATAATTTTTTGTATAAAAAACTGTAAAATAACAATTTCGCGTACATATATTAAAATATCAAAAGTTGTTAAGATAAAACAAGTAATTTTTAAGCAAAAAAAAACCGACTTCAATTCTTAATTTCTTCATGATCCAATGATCGCATTTAAACCAGATTAGTATGGGGCCACTTGTGAGGTAACACCCTTTCCTTTCAGAAAATCGGTTAACGTGGTCCAAAGTTATCCGGTAACATACCTAAAAAAAATATTCCGACGAATTAATAACCTTGCTTTTTGTGAAGTCAGTTAAAAACTAAATATCGATTGCATAGACTTTTTCCCGCAAAATGTAGGGATATTATTAACCCTTTTAATACAACAAATCGACCGTTGAAGCTAAAAATCTGAAGATTTAATAAAAGTTTTTATAAAAATAATAGTTTTCGTTATTCCGTTCCGTTATTCGGCGTCAATTATATTGGACAGTGGTACTCCAGGTTTGTAAAATGAAAAGTGATCTCTATTATTTTTATTTTTTTCTTGTCCGAAATATATTTCAAAACTACATGTGAATTATACTTAAAATTTTTTTTGAACACAAATTCCACAAAAAAACATACATTTATTTCGAGGTATTATATGTCCCCCATTGACTTCTGTTATACGCGGCCAATTGTATGCAGAAAAAACAATTAAATAAATGCGACAAAGACGAATGATATAATTTTCTCAGACAACTGTTCTTTTAACAACAAAAGCTATTAGTTACAAAAAAACAAGTACTTTTTAAGCAAAAAACCAAACCGACTTCAATTCTCGTACACAAATTTAGGAGTACCTTTGAGCTCTTTGTGATCTAATCATCGGATCTAAATCAAATCTGAGGTACCAAATTTCTTAAAAAAAAGAATTATAGAAATCCGTTATGGTGGTTCAAACATAACCACAAAAAAAATGTATATGTATATATTCCGACGATTCGATAACCTCCTCCTTTTGTTGACGTCGGTTTAAAAGAGCTTTAAGTACAAAAAAGTTTCCCAAATATATTGGACGCTTGTACTGAAAGGGTTAAAACAGTTACGTGAGTTGTTGGTAATAGTTTAGCGTTTCTAAGCATAGCGAGTTTGGCACTTGTAAGAGGTACTGAGAAAGTGGAGTAAGTTGTTTGAAGATTCGCCAATACCGCGGTGCTATTATACCCGATTTCCCAACGACAATGCCCGATATTCATAATATTCGTCGATTCAAATGAGCGCAACAGCTCTCTACAGCGACTAGTCGTTAACTGGTGTTTAAGCTACGAAAATAAAAAATCATGGAAAATATATTGCCCATAGATCAAGGTTAGCTGACTGAAGCCGTCAAGTTGTCAATACTACGACTAGAACTGCGCTCAGCCATGTTAGGTGTGCGTTCGAAGGAAGTCAAATATTTTGGACATATTCCAAGACCGTTATCTAGCATTATCAGAGGTGCTTGAGTCATCAGCCATTCCCAACGGTAATGCGACCAAAGGCCTTTCGGTCCGAATACAAATGGGTTAGTGGTCCGAAAGTTTGGAAGTGGAATGAAGCTGTTTGACTTGCAGGGTCATATGACTTTTGTGAAAAATAAAACAATATCTAGACGCATACTTAAAATTGCGAGCGTAGGCACTTAAGCAAGAATTCACCGTATCCTTGTCATGGCCACAAATAAAACAGACAGTAGTTGATATTTCTTCACAATTTAAGTTATGTCCGTTTGTTTCATCACCAACAAATCGACCAACAATATTATGAAAGGATCATCGCCTAAAATAAATTGTAAACTTTTTAAAAAGTTGTCAACCGTATTGGGCCAACTACCCTCTTATGGTTTCCATGAAAAACGATGAGTAGTCAGCTATCTCAACATGCCTTATTGTCAAATAGCTCGCATAGAGCTAGCGAAAAAATTGTCAAAAACCGTCAACTCGTGCCCGCTGACGCAAGCGCATCGATTGCAAACCACTTAAACCAAGCCACTCCATTTTATTTACTTCCAACTTTGTTCATATAAATAACTAGTTTCTTAACGGCAAACTCACAGCACACATAACCATACTGTACGGGTACCCAAAATTGTTTTGCTTCAGTAAGATTTTGTATAAATAAATTCGTCCAGGCCCTCCCCTCTCACTGAGTTATTCACAACGTTAGAACAAAAGTTTTTGAAGAGCTTGGCTTCTCGATAGGATGAGAGATGCCAAAGAGTTTAAACGAGTGAAGCCGATATGCGTTTTAGAAGGATTAATCGTATGCGATGACTGGAATTTGAGCGTTTG